ATTTCACAGTTAAAGGCAAATTGATAACACTGTCTAGACATAAACAATCATGTTAACTTTTACTCATATAATCTGTGCAATATATTTAATATGATTTCCATCCAAACCTTTTTGATTAACTTTACTTTACCAGCCGACAGTTTTTGACACTTTGTGCTACAAACACATCTCGGTTGGAACCCAAACAGTCCTGCGGTTCAACACCCAGCAGTAAAACACTCCACAGGCAGAGCTGGAGGTACTGCAGGAGACAGGTCCGTGAAAGAGATTTATGAAGCAAGGACAGAGGAGGAGGTCAGGCGGGCAAACATGATGTTACTGCATTACAGCCTCGCCACATTAGTACAGTGTATTCTTTACACATTCCACCCTGAAACAGGTCATTAGTATTGAGGATACGGAGCTCTCCACCAGCCTCATCTCTCCGTCTTCATCTCTGCTGTGACCTGCATGTCTGTGTGTGTGTGTGTGTGTGTGTGTGTGTGTGGTGTGTGTGTGTGTGTGTGAATGAGGCTTCTCTTGTCTCGGCTGGCCTGCCCAGCCACCCATGTCTTAGCTCTGCATCTCCTCCAGTGTTTCACTAAACATGCTTGATTAGGCAAAGTACATTCCCGGCCATCTAATGGCCTGATGAGCCCTTGAGAAGATTATAACAGACACATCGGCCCCTGAGAGGGAGGTGTACATTTAACCAACTCTTTACCCCCCTACACACACACACACACACACACACACACACACACATACACACTTACATGGATATGCACAAATACTGCCAGCCCTTTAACCAAATTTGGGATGCAATTGAATTAAGATCAGAGATAGAGTTGAAATAGGCTGACACTGACTGGTTCTAGGAAAAGTACTGTACATAATGTTAACTCAATGACAGCATAATTTGGTAGTTCAACATTACAGGGAAGCTAAAGAATTCAGGTTTGACTTCATGAAAGTCAGACTGTTTTTTAAAGCCTTTCTTACTCCCTTTTTGCATTATTTTTTCCATTCTTCTTTTTTTTAAACAGCTGCACTTTGCCTCCTACTTTGAAGCCTTGTCTCCAAGCCTTGTTCGCACACACATACGTGGGGCACTTACATATAGGTAACATCTAAAAACCACTTCCTAATTCAAGCACTAGTTGTTCTTTTGTCCCGTTTGTAACTATTAAAGTTAAGCTGGTTAATTTAATGAGTCACTGGCAGAAACAGAAGTCAAAGTAATTCTGGAACACCCGCTTTTTTTCACCTCAAATCTTTAATGTGTTCGCTTTTTTTTTTTAGATGTTACCTATATGTAAGTGCCCCACGTATGTGTGTGCGAACAAGGCTTGGAGACAAGGCTTCAAAGTAGGAGGCAAAGTGCAGCTGTTTAAAAAAAAGAAGAATGGAAAAAATAATGCAAAAAAGGGAGTAAGAAAGGCTTTAAAAAACAGTCTGACTTTCATGAAGTCAAACCTGAATTCTTTAGCTTCCCTGTAATGTTGAACTACCAAATTATGCTGTCATTGAGTTAACATTATGTACAGTACTTTTCCTAGAACCAGTCAGTGTCAGCCTATTTCAACTCTATCTCTGATCTTAATTCAATTGCATCCCAAATTTGGTTAAAGGGCTGGCAGTATTTGTGCATATCCATGTAAGTGTGTATGTGTGTGTGTGTGTGTGTGTGTGTGTGTGTGTAGGGGGTAAAGAGTTGGTTAAATGTACACCTCCCTCTCAGGGGCCGATGTGTCTGTTATAATCTTCTCAAGGGCTCATCAGGCCATTAGATGGCCGGGAATGTACTTTGCCTAATCAAGCATGTTTAGTGAAACACTGGAGGAGATGCAGAGCTAAGACATGGGTGGCTGGGCAGGCCAGCCGAGACAAGAGAAGCCTCATTCACACACACACACACACACACACACACACACACACACACACACACACACACACACAGACATGCAGGTCACAGCAGAGATGAAGACGGAGAGATGAGGCTGGTGGAGAGCTCCGTATCCTCAATACTAATGACCTGTTTCAGGGTGGAATGTGTAAAGAATACACTGTACTAATGTGGCGAGGCTGTAATGCAGTAACATCATGTTTGCCCGCCTGACCTCCTCCTCTGTCCTTGCTTCATAAATCTCTTTCACGGACCTGTCTCCTGCAGTACCTCCAGCTCTGCCTGTGGAGTGTTTTACTGCTGGGTGTTGAACCGCAGGACTGTTTGGGTTCCAACCGAGATGTGTTTGTAGCACAAAGTGTCAAAAACTGTCGGCTGGTAAAGTAAAGTTAATCAAAAAGGTTTGGATGGAAATCATATTAAATATATTGCACAGATTATATGAGTAAAAGTTAACATGATTGTTTATGTCTAGACAGTGTTATCAATTTGCCTTTAACTGTGAAATGAAAAACAGGTTTTGATTCCTTAGAGGAAACTATAAAATGATTGTTTCCTATGATTTTTTGCATAGGTAATAAAACACCTCAAACAATACTGAAAAGTTACTAATCGTTTAACATTCAACCCTTTATTGATTTTATGGCAACATTGTGGCAGCAGAAACAATCTGTAAATATAACATTGACATATTATAACTGAAGAGTTGCCTTTCCATTTAGTTGTGGTGGATGTGATGTCGTTTAAAAAATATTTATTGAGTCCTGTTTCTTGCTACCTGATGAAAAAAAGGCCCAACAAAAGAGACCTTTCAGCTCTGTATTGGGTCTCAACCAACATCTGAGGGAAATATCTGGCTTGTTTGCTCCTACTTGCTTAATGATGCTAAATGCTATGTTTACCAGCTGGATGCTAACTTTGTTTATCCGCTGTTTGGTGCTTTGCTCGTAGCAAAGACCAGGGTTTTTTTCTCCAGAATTATTGCTAAAATAAGCGGCTAGATGAGACTTAAAACCTGCTGTACAGGAAAAACAAAATGATTTATGTTCATGTTAAAGTAAGAAACAATTAGATAAGACACTATAAAGCGACATATTACCACCTTGAATTGAAAATTGGTTTTGTTAAAAAATATAGTTTTTATATATTTTTACAGTCTCAAACCTTGTAATGATATATTTTGGCATTAGACATTTTCTTGTCAATGTAATGCTTATTTATCCTTTGACCCAGATCCTTTAAAGCAAGCGGAGCCAACCTCCTCCAGAATATCTGCAGGTCTTTGTGTAAATAATAACGAGTTAAAAGTAATATATAGCATAAACTACTCCCACACAGGGCTCTGACACTGTTAGCACAGATTTGTGAATATGAGGCTGCTGCACAACATTAATGGCTCAACAGAGAAGAAGAAGGAAAACAGAAGACGTGCGATAACAGCAAAAATGGATCAAAGATGTTTTGTTTTGCACTTCATATGAGCTACACATTCATGGACAAAACCCCAAAGAGAGTCATGCACACAAGCTGACAGACACATAAACACCACCTCCATCACGCCATGACCCAGATGGGAGAGAAAAGGCTATCTCTGGATCTACATTCGAATCCAGAACGGATGAGAACAGACAAAAACATCAAAAGATTAGATAATGGAGTGAAAGAGTAACTCCACACCCATGGTATACCAATGCCCATCTGTTTTCTTTAGACCATGTTGTAGTGAAACACACTGAAAGACAGAAAAGGGATAAAATCACAAGGGATCAGCATTGTGACGGTTAGCTTTGCCCCAAACCCGGCCTCAGCCCTCATGTCCTCCCTGTTCGGGCAAAAAAAAAAAACCACGCTAAATAATCAGAGTGGTTTGAAGCGTATAAGATGCCCCATCCTGGTTGGTACATCTCACATGACGGATTGAGCTGCTGTCCTCCTCATTGATATTCTGCTAGACTGTGGTGCAGGGTAGGTCCCTGACTCTTAACGGCTATTTGTTGCCGCAGTCTCCTCCTGATTCGACGGGGCACAAAGAGGCTCAGTGTCGGGCAGAAGAGGCTGAATGGAGCTCCCAAGCGGCCGGGCCTCACATCTCACAGCCCCAGTCAGACAGGCAGACAGTAACAGCTCACATTCCCTCCTTCAAATGGACTGCGGAGGCCGAAGGGGGAGGTGGGGCTCAGGTCAGGTCAGACAGAGCTGGGATACTGAAGGAGGGATGGGGGGGGAGGGGTAATAGAGGGGACATATTGATCCAGCTCTTTCACACGTCTCTACACTCTACATGTTCGCTTTGCTGAGAAAACATTAAACTTTGAAATATCAAATGATATCAGCTTTATTTTTGTCCCTTTATGTCTCTGACTTATTATTGCTTTCTTAAACTTCATGATGGCTCTCTGGAGCGACTTCTGTTCTGAGGTACAAGGAATCACAAAACAACCACAATGGGAGACTTCACTAGCTACTGGTCAACCATACCATCCAAACCTCTGATTGCGTCACATATAGAGTTTCAAATAGACACAAAATAAAATTTGTCTCTCTGTAATTTGTTTATAAAAAGTTAAAATAATTTCAACATTGACCTCATCCTTACAGAAACTTAATTATATTGTTATTCTTCACAGTTAAGACGGGACACTGGTTGGGGTTGTTGTGGCCACAGTCACACGCACGCACACACACACACACAACTTTCACACACTGCATGATTCACTGAGAGTCACTTCCCTCTGGCACAGCCACAACAGTTTTAGTCTCATCTGAAATCCATAGTAAAGCACATTGTTGTCTGCTGGATGCCACTGGCACGAAAAACAAAAGCAGAAACAAAATTCCACACTCAATAAAGATCCATGGTGTCAAAAAACAGGATGGCGGAGGGAGACCTTTCACATTTGGCCCTGCGAACAATATCGTCTTTTATTTTTTTATTTTTTTGAAGTCTCCACATGTACCTTTGAGAATCCTGTTCCTTTGCACCCTCTCTTTACCTTAACACTGTTTGTCCTGTGGAGTCAAAGTTGAGCTCTGTGTGTAGAACCGCTCACAGAGAAGAGGGATGCAGCTCAGATTAAGAGCCGAGGAACGCTGACGTGAGAGGAGTTTTTTTTCCTCTCTTTCGACTCTCTCTTTGTTTCTTTTCTCTCTCTGTCTCTCTCTTCAGTCTGCTGAATGACGTCAGGACATTGAATGACAGTGAGAGAGGACAGACAGGGTAAGGTTGGACTGGGAGTCTGTGGGGTGGATTTATTCCAGTCTGCTGTGGAGGGAATGACCATTCAGAGAGAGCTCAATTACTTTCCCTCACTGGCCACTAGGGTTGCGCTCTCCCATGTTCTTCCCCATGAGGTGGCTAAAGTCCGCCAGTTCTCCCAGCCCTCTGGGCCCGTGCATGTCGGGCCTGATCAGGCCCTGTCGTTGGGGGTGGTAGGGTGCTCCATTGTTGCTGTTGTAGTTGAGTGCCTCGTGACTCCAGCGAGGCTCCCCATAGTCCATGTGAGGAGTTGGAGCGGACACTACCCTCCGTCGGTCGGGGGAGTCCTGCGGCGTTGCAGGGTAGATGTATTCTCCCGCTGAGTTCCTCAGGCTGCCGCTGGCACGACCACTGCCATGCTCCCCTCTCTGCGTGGCGAGGATCAGGTACCGCTGGCGCTCGGTGTGTGGGGGCAGCATGACCTCCCCTGGGTCCTCTATCCGGACCATCCCTCCCCCTCCTCCACCTCCATGAAGGAACTTGGAGCTCAGGTAGATGACCGAGTTGTTGGGGCAGGTGGTCCCCACGGCAGTGAGGAAGGTCTGGCTCTGGTCCCAGTCGGTGTCGGGGAGACGCAGTGCTCGCTTCTGCTGCAGTGGGGTCTGCTCAGGAGTGGGTAGCAAGCCAGGATCCATCTCTCCTTTAGGCCATCCGTTTGGCATCACAAAGGGATTGTCCACCTGTGATCGCCTCCTCTCGCCGCCACTAGTTCTAGTCACGCTCATTACCGACCCGCTGCGACCCTGCCCCAGCATGCTCTGCTCTTTGTCGCTCTTGCGACGAGCACCATTGACTCCCGACCCTCGTGAATGGCGGTGGCGGTGACTCATGATCCAGCAGACGATCAGGCCAGAGAGGACGGCTCCTGTGGCGAAAGCTGAAACCGCAGACACCACCAGCAGGTTTACAGACACCAGGCCGTCGGGCTCCTCCATGAAACTCTCCTGCAGCAGGTTCCCTACAGAAGGAGATACAATCAAACACAAAGGGACGCCATCAGTAAACTGGTGGAACCGTGTTAATAGCATCAGTGTTTTCTGTAATAAACTGGTGGGAGTCAACAAATGGCGAGACAAAATGGCCTATTTTCTCTCCCCTCTGAGGGTGGGATGGGTCATACGCTTTCCAGTCAAGGTAGCGCTGGCTAATTGCCTTCATTACGTAAAGTGGATGGTGATTTTAATAGCTGCAATAACTGTCCTACTGATTGAGATAGCTTCCTCCCCTAACATGTTTCACAACATTAGCTTTATGGGGAGAGATGCCACGTCTGGCATTAATGGTGAGTAATAATTGAGTTTTTATCCTGTATACGTCAAAAACCTGTTTTTATTCCTGTCTAGATGATGTCATATGTTTTTGAATTAAACAGGGGATACAATTAGAAGTTAAACCTGTGAAAACAAAGAGCGATAATTGGTCACAGTGTAGCTTTTTGTCCGTTATATTAACATCGTAAACACCCCACTTTTGTTTGCTGTGATTCTTTTATATAGAAATACAAGTCGTATTTCTGCTAAAGTAAATATGCTGTTGTGTATTTTCTCCTTGTTAGATATTTGCTAGGAAGAACACAAGGCAACATGGTTTAAGATAAAGGGTACCATATCAGCACACAAGACAGTGGATTTCTGTTTTTCTTTTGTATAAGAACACAAGTTGAACATAAGAACACAAGTTGAACTCCCTCAGAGAGACGTGTTTATGCATTATTGAAGATATGAATGCAGCTGTACCACAGCACGGCCTGCCATGGATCAATTAGGAAAATGCCAGAAGAAAAAGTTGTGCTTTGCTGCGTAAGCTCCTGGGACCAACACCAGCGGATACAATGAAACTGTGCCAAGGGAAGCAGATTGGAGAAAAGCAGATGAAGGAAGGAGGAGGATGTTATAGAGAGAGAGGGAAAGAAAGAAAGGAAAATAGAGAGATAGCGAGAGAAAAAGAGAGAGAGAGAGTTTGCCTAAAGCCAACTGGAACATTTGGGGCCTTAGACAAACATAGTAATAGTTGTTAAATTACAACAGCAATAGCAGCAGAGGGAGGACAGTCTCGATGAGGACAGTGAAATAAATCCTTTCTCACAGAAAATAAATGGATGTCATTAATAGTAACTGGGAGCCAGTTACTCACTAACACACTGCACTAAAAAACAAGAACAAGGGCAAAAATGAACATGTGGAGAACAGCAGCAGCTTTTATACACAAACATATGTTTATTGGCTGACAAATTCATTTTTAATGGTTGTTTTGCAAATACCCCACAAAGCTGGATGGGTAATTATGGTGGCCTGCCTGTGGCTTGGCATAATAAAGTCTTATTCTACACATTGACATTAAGCTGCAGGGGAAAGGCAGCAAAGACCTCGTGACAGGCTGCTGGACCGCTGCGCTGTGTCGGAGGTGATCTGTACACATTAAAGGGACATGTATGCAAACATCCTGATGGGAAAAAAGGAAACTTTCTTTGTCATCACAATATCAACATGCAAAATAAATACATAAAACTGCCTGAAACTTTGTTAAAAAAAACAACAACAACACTGTCAAAGGACTGCAGATGTAAACTAGCTCTAAGCTAACTCTGGTACAACATTTATGCTTAATATTGTACATGGTCCCTTTACAAATACAATAAAACAAATCAAATTTACTTTTTTTTTTTTTCTCAAGTGACATACATTCCCAATCAACGTTTGACAAATCAGACAGAGCTTCTTTTTCTTTCTTTTTTTTTTTTTTTTACAACATTAGAACCCAATAATAGGGTGTGACAAATCAATTGACCTTTATATTTCTCTTTTGTTTGGACTAAATTCCGTTAAGGACAATCATAACTGAGTTTAGAAAGTAATAAAGAAACAAATGTTTCAGGAATTGTTGAACTCTTTTTGTTATCCTGATATGTTTTGGTAAAAAGATGACTTGATTTATGTATCAACACTTATTTTCCTTTTATGCTGTTTTTCAATACTACTAATGCTATCTTTTATTGAACACAGTTCAAGTTTTCATTCAATATTGTCACCAGTAAAATCATCCCTCATGTATATCGAATTTAAAATTTTCTGATTTCTTTAGCCCACACATTTATTTCACATATTATTTACTGAAAATACAAATTTAAGGTTATTGTGTGCTACATGAGTCTGTTAGGCTAGTCAGCCTGTTGCTAGCATTGCTCAATGGTAATAAGTTCAATACCAAGACATGTTCAGCTAAGGGCAGCTGAGAAACCTTTGACCTCTGACAATTCCAGTTCCTTGATTCACAGCAGTGGCCTTAAAGAGGAACTGAACTCCAAAAAGGCATCTAACAATTAACTAGAATTAAATCAAAACATACATCCATCTCTGTCACTATTGTTATTTATAGCTTCCACAATAGGTCCTTCTCTTTTGTCAATGTGAGTCCATACTCTCAACAAGTTGGCAGATTTCATTGACTGAAACCAGGCATTAATCAACCGGCCTTCCTGCTCAATCAATGTCCTTTTCAGCACTAATTAGTCCTATATTACCAATCCAATACGCTGAGTGTTACATGTGGACACAGGCTTTAGTTACAGCTTGCTAATTCTGTGATGAGTACAGTTCAGTTCAGTTCAGCATCAGACAAATCCTCCTAAATAAGCAGCACTCACACTTCATCAGCAGGTTTGTGCTCATTTTAAAAGCAGGTTTGTTTTCCATATCCTTTGTTTGCTTAATGTCACGCCCTCGTTCTTCACTCATTTTCTTTTAACAACTTCTTTCCTTGCTCTTCCTTTTGTTCCTCAGTGCTTTTAAATGTTAATACTGGAATAAAAAAAAAGAAGTCATTTCACTTTTTGATCTAAAATTGGATTATTCTGATTTATTTATTTATTTAAGTGGAGAAAGTCCCAGCATGTGGCTTGAGTTATGCTATTTCAAGTGTTTATTTAACTGAGTATTAGGGTTTATTCAGGAGGTTACTTCTTCCCTGAGGGATGCAAGAACTTGATTGCTCAATTTTTCCAAAATTGCTCCGAACACAGAAGGCAGCTCGTAATTCAAATCTCTGAACATATCTTTCTTCACTTTGGTACCCTCATGCTGTCACGCAGCCCGCTTGTGGTTACACAGTCTAACCTGCCCAGACTGTGTGTATTCAATTAAGCGCCTGTGTTTTCGGTGTTTACATCAAATTTGGCATTTGTTCTCAAAATGATCTTTCCTCCTCGAGCACACTATTGGCATCTTTGTTGTAGCAGCCTAAACACAGCTCTGATTCTTGCTGTATTTATTTTGAAGTTTCAGGCCAATATTCAATTTGGAGGGGTCTGCCAGGTTCAATTACATTATCGCTCCTCTCCTGAGTAAAAAAGGCTGTTCTTCAGGGAGGCAGATGCGACGCAGAGAAAGGCATTTGGAGGTTACAGGCATGTTCGTTTACAGTATCCACACACCCAAACAAACACACACACACACACACACACACACACACACACACACACACACACAGCTGGAGGAGTTTGAGGGGTCAGGTAATGAATTGATTCAAGAAACCACAGGCTTGATGGCTTTGTACACAAAAATGAAGCACAGCACCCACAGAAGATCCAGAGCAAGTCAGCAACTGGATGGGGTAAAACCGCAAATCTCCGCTCTCACACACGTAACATCTGGAATTGTTCTCGCAGTACTTAGCTGCAGAGGTTGTAGAAACTTCTTCTACATTTTCCTCAACTGTGGTCCAGGGTTGCTGTGTGGCACTTTAGATTAAATTCTGCACGGTGCAATAATACCACTGTCAGCTTCGAGCAGGAGGAGAGGTCTTGACAAGTGTGTGTGTGTGAGAGTATGCTTTGCAGGATTGGTGTGCTGTTATTTTTATTTTTTGCTGTAGAATTAAGGTAGAGATGCTTCTCACTATCAGTATGCTCTCGTTTTAACATCCACACTCAACTATAATGATTCCTCTTGTTTTGAATTCCTCTTCACCTGCAGATCAGTCAGTCTTTTCTGGGATGCACAGCAGTTTTTGGAGAATTCAATGAGCAGAATCACCATTGACAATAACGACTGATGCATATCTTTGGTGGATTTAAGGTGTTTTTTTTGTGTGACATCAGGCAGGTTTACCAAGAGGTGACAGTAGAAGCAGCAGCTTGCATGCTCTCATCCCTTCAACTCTCCTCTCCTCCTCCAATCCTGCTCTTATTAAAGCTTAATAGAAGCCAACAGGCCCGCCTGTCAGCCTGACGCAGCCTCAGCTGCTTGTCTAGAGGCTTCTAGCTCCAATTACAGCGTAACAATTGGAGGAGAGGAGAGAAGCAAAGATGAGAGGAGAGGGATTTTATATGAGTTTGAGGGAAAAGGGTGGAGAATTGTGTAGAGAAATGGGACACGTGACAAAAAAAGAGGAGGAGACTCGAAACGAGGTAGGTGAGAAGATGAGAGGAAGAAGCATGTTACGAAAGAAGATTCAAAAGGTTCAGAGGGAAAAAAGCAACACTGATCTTATATTTGTGTCCTATCTGTAATACAAAAATATCTTTTATATGGTTGTGCAAGTTAGAGTCAAATTTGAAAATACAAAGGCGCTTGAACAGAGTTTCAATTTTTCCTTGTTACTCAAATTCTCTTAGTTACAAACCCAAAGTCATCTGTTCTTTTATACAAAGTATCATCCTTTCTTCTCTCCAATCCCTTTGTTAGCTGTTAATCCTCTCCTCTGTATCCCTCTCTCTTACACGCCGCTCCTTTGATCACACAGGGTGGCGGCGCGATGGGAGTAATGGCTTAAAAAGTAAAGAAACTTTCACCCGCACTCTTACAAATCAAGGTCGTTCCAGTGTGATCAAATTTAATATTGGCGAGACAAAATGATGCTTCCCTGTCACAGCCAATGTGACAGCTGTGGCTGTGTTAACAGGGGGGGGGGATTTTTGTAGAGGCTGCCTCTGAGTTTTCCCTCATGCCTTTACCACTCTCG